TGCTTTCTGAATCAAGAATTGGACCAATTGGAGCCACCCTGCTTGCTTCGGCACTTAAGGTAAATGGCAGCTTAGAAGAGTTGCAGATATGGGAAGACTCAATTGGATCCAGAGGGGCGGAGGAACTGTCTAAAATGATTGAAGCGAACTCAACTCTGAAGCTGCTGACAATTTTTGACTTCAAGGCATTCACAGCAACACCAATAATTTCAGCAGTTTTAGCGAGGAACAGATCCATGGAAGTTCACATTTGGAGTGGAGACAGTCGTGAAAAAAGTTTCAAGGTGGTTGAGTTTGTGCCTGAGAATAGCACACTTCGTATTTACCGCCTTGGTGTTTCAGGTGCTTGCAGGGTTGCTTGTGCTTTGGGGTGCAATTCAACTGTGAGATCACTTGACTTGACTGGTGTCAGGCTGAAGTCGCGGTGGGCAAAAGAATTCCGATGGGTGTTGGAACAGAACCGAAGCCTCAAAGAGGTTAATTTGTCAAAAACATGCCTGAAGGACAAGGGAATTATCTACGTTGCAGCTGGACTCTTCAAAAACCAGAGTTTGAATAGTTTGTATCTTGATGGAAACTGGTTTGGAGGAATTGGTGTAGAACATTTACTTTGCCCTTTGAGCAGGTTCTCTTCACTGCAAAATCAGGCAAATATTACTCTGAAGTCACTGACTTTTGGGGGAGGTAGAACAAAAATTGTAGAACAAAAATTGGCAAGGATGGGCTAGCAGCAATAGTACAGATGACAACCACCAACCAGACTTTGACCAGATTAGGAATATATGATGATCAGAGTTTAAGGCCAGATGACATTATCAGAATCTTCAAGTGTTTGGAGAGGAATGCCAGTCTAAGGTGCTTGTCTTTAAAAGGTTGCGGAGGAGTGGATGGTGACCTGGTGCTGCAAACTATAATGGGAACATTACAGGTGAATCCTTGGATTGAGGATGTTGATCTTGAAAGAACGCCTCTGCACAACAGTGGCAAGGCAGAAGCAGTTTATCAAAGGCTGGGTCAGAGTGAGAGAACAGAACCAGTACCGGACATCGATTTGCTAAAGGATATGCAAATGACAGCACCCAAGAGCTGTAGGGTCTTCATCTGTGGGCAAGAAAATGCTGGTAAGATACACGCTATCCCTGCAAAGACTACATTCCATGAAAAAGTTCATGTGCAATGTATTTTCTTACCCGGACAGGTTAAAGTCAAATATTTCATGCTTTTGGTTTTATGTGCAGGTAAAACGACGCTGTGCACTTCCATTCACCAGCATTTTTCTTCGAGAAAGTTGCCATACCTGAACCAAGTAAGAACTCTGGTAACGCCGGTTGAGCAAGCCATTAGACCAGTCGGAATAAAAATAACAACATTCAAAGATGAAGACACAAAGATCTCAATGTGGAACCTTGCTGGGCAGCATGAGTTTTATTCACTCCATGATCTAATGTTTCCCGGGCATGGAAGTGCATCCTTTTTCCTCATCACTTCCAGCTTATTTAGGAAACCAAATAACCGGGAACCAAAGAATTCAAGTGAAATAGAAGAAGATATCTTGTACTGGCTGAGATTTATAGTGTCTAACTCAAGAAGAGCTGTGCAGCAATGCATGCTACCAAGTGTAACTGTGGTGCTCACACACTATGACAAAATCAGTCAAACTTCGCAGAACATGCAGCACACTGTGAATTTAATTCAGAGACTAAGAGATAAGTTTCAAGGTTATGTTGAATTCTATCCAACTATATTTACAGTTGATGCAAGAGCATCTGCATCAGTGAGTAAATTAGCTCATCACCTCCTAAAGACGAGTAAAACAGTTCTTGAAAGAGTCCCTAGGGTTTACGAGCTCTGCAATGACCTTGTGGAAATACTTTCAAAGTGGAGACAGGAGAATCACAATAAGCCAGCAATGAAGTGGAAAGAGTTTGGTGATCTATGCCAAGTCAAGGTTCCGTACCTAAGGATTAGATCCAGACATGATAACAAGGAGAAAGTGGAAATGAAAAGAAGAGCTGTTGCTGTCTGTCTTCATCATATAGGTGAAGTGATTTACTTCGAGGAACTTGGATTCCTTATTTTAGATTGTGAGTGGTTTTGTAGTGATGTACTTAGTCAGCTAATCAGATTAGACAGCAGCAAGCCGAGCTCATTGGAGAATAAAGGATTCATAAGCAGAGAAGTGCTTGAGAAGATTTTAAGAGGCAGCTTACATAGCCAGATTCCTGGAATTGGCTCAAAGGTTTTTGAGAATCTGGAAGCTAGTGATCTTGTGAAAATGATGCTTAAATTGGAACTATGTTATCAGCAAGACCAATCAGATCCCAACTCATTGTTGCTCATACCCTCTATCCTAGATGAAGGAAGGTGGAGAGCACAAAGATGGCAAGTAAACACACCTGATTGCATTTATGCAGGCAGACATCTCGAGTGCGATGACTCGAGTCATATGTTTCTCACCCCAGGCTTCTTCCCCCGCTTGCAGGTAAGAATCTTCTTCTATGTCATATTTTAGTTCTCCCCTTACCTTTCAGCTATTGCTAAAAAGAAAAAAGGAATTTCAATATCAAAGAGATTTTTCATCCTGCATAGATAAGAAAGAAACTCAATATGCCCAGGTGATGAATACTCCATTTAGTTAATTAGTAGCATTATACTGCTAAGGAGGGAAATAAACTCAATGTCACACCGGGAAGAACGTGAAAATAGCATTATTTTCTTGCACATAATTTTGATTCAAGTTGTTCCAACTAGATTAATTTCGTTTTATCACCTTTGCTGGAGTAAAAATTTTATTTGATCTTAGAAAAAATTCAATATATGTCGAGCAGGTTATAAATGAGAAACAGATCCTATCTTGCTGTTTTCTTCTATTATAAAAACCTGTCATAGCCTGGTATTCCTCAGTTAATTTCTTTGTTTCAAACTATTCTAATTCCTATGTATAAAATTGAGAACTTCTATGATCATCAAAAAGAGTATTTTCTTACCTTCATTTTGCCTTACTGTTAGCTGATATCCAAAAAGACAAACTGCATGAAATTTGTCAATAAACTGCTTACGTCTGCACTTAGTGGATTCTGTCTGTGGGAACAAATTCGAGAATTGGTATGAATTTCTCACCATATAAAATGGAGATCAATAATTGGTCTTTTGAAAAGAAAACACTTCCGTGAAATCCAGGTACATTTGCACAACAGGATAATGAAGGACCATCATGGAGCAACGTATAGCATTGAGAAATACCTCATTTCGATGAGCATCAATGGCATCTATGTACGCATAGAGCTTGGAGGGCAGCTGGGTTACTATATTGATGTGCTCGCTTGCTCCACAAAACACCTAACAGAAACACTCAGACTTTTCCAACAGCTGATAATACCAGCAATTCAGAGTCTCTGCCATGGAGTCACATTGACTGAAAATGTTCTTCGGCCAGAATGTATCAGAAATCTAATACCCCCCAGATACAGGAAAGACCAATTCGTGCCTCTGCAGCAGCTAAAACAAGCACTGCTCTCGGTTCCTGCAGACAGCATGTATGACTATCAGCACACATGGGGTCCAGTAGCTGATTCTGGAAAATCCATTCTGGGTTCAGGGTTTGATTATGCTCGAGATCTTCTATCAGATGATGACTTCCGTGAGGTACTTCATTGTAGGTACAATGACCTACACAACCTTGCTGTGGAACTTCAAGTCCCGAATGAAAACAACACAGATGACTCGGATCAGTCCTCAATTACCAGTGAAGGAGCTAATGCCACTGTTGAACCCACATTTGCTGGAATTGCCAAGGGGGTAGAATTAGTTTTGGAGAGACTTAAGATCATTGAACAAGAAATACGAGATGTAAAACAGGAAATTCAAGGCTTGAGATACTATGAACACAGGCTTCTAATAGAGCTGCGTCGCAAAGTAAACTACCTTGTGAACTACAACATTCAAGTTGAAGAAAGAAAAGTGCCGAATCTATTCTATTTTGTCCAGACTGAGAATTACTCAAGGAGATTGGTCACTACCATCTTTTCTGGGATGACTGCACTTAGACTGCACATGTTATGTGAATTCCGACGAGAGATGCACGTGGTAGAAGATCAGATTGGATGTGAAATGATGCAGGTCGATAACAGGGCACTGAAATGTCTAGCTCCTCATATGAAAAATTTCATGAAACTCTTAACGTTTGCTCTAAAGATTGGAGCCCATTTAGCAGCAGGAATGGGACAACTGATACCAGATTTGAGCAAGGAAATCTCGCATCTGGTTGACTCTCCCATGCTTTATGGGGGTGCCAGTGCAGCCGCTGCTGGAATTGCGGGTGCTGCCGCACTTGGAGGGAGACACAGAAATAACAGCTCAAGGGACGTTCAGCAAGATCTTAGGGCAGCACAGCAATGGGTCGTGGATTTCTTAAGGGATCGAAGGTGTTCAACTGGAAAAGAAATTGCAGAGAAGTTTGGACTATGGCGAGTTAGATACCGGGATGATGGTCAAATTGCATGGGTTTGTAGAAGGCATTTACACTCCAGAGCAAATGAAATAATTGAAGTACCAATTTAAAATTTGTACATCAGTTAGCATGCAACAATTCCTTTTCTTTTTTCCCATGTTAGCAATTGGATTTTCCTTTTCCTACCAGCATAATTTGTCATCCATTGCAGGCGCAGTGTGTACATTAAAGTCGTCCATCACCTAGCTTCAGCTGCCAGAAGAGGCTGGATCCTATTGGCTATTAAACATTGATGTGTTAATAATCATTATCAGTTCTGTGAACTAGTGTAGACAAGCGGACTAAATATGAAATATCATTTCCTTTTCAGACTGGATTGCAAGTACGCATAGATCCTAAAACCAATCATCACGCAAGTTCAGACTTCAAAAAAAGGGTGTCGATTTAGCATGGGTACTTCAGTTGATTTAGCATAACCTGGCTAACAAATTGAAACAAGATGTTTAGTCATTGCCAGATTCAGAGCACGTATTATCCAACTATTGGCTTCTTGTAGAAAGTTGATTGAGTTATTAGTAGAATCAGAAATTTACAAAGACTCTAACCCAGACCGGCGAGTTTTCAAACCATCACAAGTATATCAGTGATTAGAATGATGAAGTACAGCAGTGACAAATATATACTAGGAGCAACTGCAATAAACAACACGAACAAGTCCAGATCTTTTCCATCACCTAAAGCACTGCCAGCTTACATACGAAAATGACACAATCAAAACTCAGCTTAGTGTTACTGATGGCATTGCACTTGATTCTAATCACTAAAGTCACCTGTGAAGTCCCATCCACTAAAACAGGAAGTCAGAAGAAAGCTCTACTGCCATAAAATACTCTATTGCCAGAGTTCTTAGATGACTCTAGTTTCTGATCAGAACTTGAATTTCCAGAACTGGTTGGTCCACTCTCAAAGTCCATGGGAAGTTTCATTTTTGCCAATGACTCAGTAAATTGCTGCATGCTTTTCATGTACATATCCACAATATCCTGTTGCACCATCTTTTGTTCTGGCTCAATCTTCACAGTGACGACAGGTTTTACAAATGAATCGCCAGGCAGGTTTTCAGATGCCTTACTCTCGGCATCTCCCGCATCTGCGCTTCTCTCTTTCACATTTTCTTTAGGAGGTAAGGCATATTCAGTAGCAGCAGATTTTGAAACTACTGGTGTCTCGGAAGACTGGGAGCTCACTGGAAGTGAAGCAGTTGGTGAACCATATGTGGACCCGCTGCTAGGAGGAGAATCAAGCTTTGGGAATTGGGTAGAACCAACGGTGCCCATTGACAAACTCTCGACAAACTGAACACCAGCTTCAGAACTCAGCTGATTTTCAGTATCTGAAGAAACGAAGCTGTCAGAGCTCTGGGAGTCTAGATTGGCACATGGAATCCCAAAATACTCGGAGACCATCAAATGATTCTCATTCAATATCTTGGGATCAGGGAACTCAATTTTGTCAAGTTCATCCGGAACAGGCTCGGCTGCTTTTGAATCATGTACAGCTACATCAGTAACAACAGATGGAGGAGCAGAAGAAATAGCCAGCACGTCAGGTAAAGCCCCACTGTAGGAGAGGGACAACTGAACAAATCCAGCAGGGGAATGAAAGAGATCCGTTGATGATAGAGAGAACTCTTTCTCTAGCTTCCCACTCTTGACCAGGACATCAGACAGAGGCACCAAAGCAAATCCCAGCAACTGGTCTTCAAGATAATTCCTGACCCTGCTGAGCATCCATATCTCACACTTCAGGGAAGTATCGACAGTACGAACGCCAAGTCTAAGATTCTCATTGAAGACTGGATTCTGCCCACCTCCATTAATTATCTTAGTGGAGACAGCATTTTCAGGGTCACTTGTGAGGCAAAGCTTGGCATAAACATCTTGCTTGTGGTATATACATATGTTGTGGATGTCCCTAGCCTGGTATATGTAAACCTCTAGAGTTCCAACGGATTCCTCCAAGTTATAAACCTCAGCCTCCTTTCTGTGAGCACCAATTCCCCTTGACAGGTGATCAGGGCTTTTGACAAAGAGATCAGCAGTCTGCTTCTCAGGCTCAGCAAAAACAGCAGAGCTCTTGAACGGCGATACAACAGATTGAGGGGAATCCATTGCAAGACCACAAAATAAGCCTGGTAAAAGAAGCAAACAAAGTTGCTCTCAGAAATTATGAAACATATCATTGCCTGTATCGAAATCTGAACTTGTACAACCAAGCAAATCACACTGTACCTTAGAGCTGATAGTACCAGAAAAATAACTAATTTTACTTAGATCAATCAGGTTAATGAAGTCAATAATTGAGAGCACAAATATGTGAACTTGCAGAAACCACAAGTAGTAAACATAAGCTAGTCAACACGCAGGAATCCAGTCAAACCTGGACTTAATGATCTCACTCAGCTAAAACTTGAAAAGTCAGTACTGCTACCAGAGATCCCCCCAAACTAAGTCGAGTTCAAATACTCTAAAAATCTAAAATTTTAAGCCAAAAAATGCCAACTTGACCAAATAATACCCGTCTGGAAAACTACCCAAAACCCCAATTCCAGACTCAGAAACAGACAAAATCCGTCGAGTAAAACCCAAAATTGAGCTCAAATTTAAACAGAACTGTAAAGATCCTAAAATTGAGATGACATTGAAAGACAGACCTTGTTCTGCTTCTGCTTCAAAACACAACCCTCTCCAATTCCACTAAGATGCAAGGCCCGAGTAAAGTGAAATCAAGACTGACCAAATATCGACAAAGTTACCACCTTTTGTTCTGTACCAAATAATTACTACAAAAGTCCAAGAGAGCGAAACAAAAATTCAGATCTTACACATCTCGAGAACAAAAAGCAAACTAAGCTTAAATCCAACACCAAAAAGCACATAGAAGCAAGTGAAAATTCACAGCAGCTAAAAAAAAGGTCAAAGAAAAAAGCCGAGAAAAAGGGAGTGAAAATAGTAGTGTTGAAAGGTCTCTCCTTTTCTTGCCTTTTAGCTCCAAAGTCAAAAGCAATTTAAGCGTAATCTGTGGCTCTAATCCAAGATCCAACGACAAACCAGTTCGCAGATCGAGGCGTTTTTTCTCTTTTTGACGAAGTAAGTGGTTGCTGAGAAATGCAGAGAATAAAATCTACTGAGAATTCATGGGACTTGAGGCCTGTCGGAATCCCTTGTTTACCTCAGCGTATTTATGTGTTAAGAGAAAGATATTTTAATGCAGTCAATCAAATTTTCGATTTTTGAGTTTTTGGATTTTCTGACAATCCAAACACACCACTGTATCATCCACAACGAAACGCCGATACCACACCGACCCACGCGTTCTGATCCAACTATCAGAAGAAAGCTTTGAGTGCGGACTTTACAGTTGGGAGTTGGTAGTTGGTGCGTGTAAGGCACGTACAAGAATTGAGTTCCTTTTTTTTTTTTTTGGTGTATAGTATTTGAAAGTTTTTACTACTTAGGCCAAATACTAGCGCATAATTTGACTCGATTAAGTCTTTTTGGGTAAAAGATTATAAGATTTTTTTTTTGGGAAGCAAAATTATAGCACTTTTTTTTTTAAATTAACGTATGCAAAATAAAAAGATGATTCACGAGATTAGAAAAAGAAATTTTTTGCAAAAAAAAAAAAAAACTATTCATCCTAACAGATTTGATTCTGTACGCACTATATAATTGTCAAATCTTTTTAAAATAAATTTTACCGTATAATTGTCAATTTTATTTAGTAGAAAAATGGTACTAAGATTTAAAAAGTGGAGAAAGAACAGAAAAATTTAAAGTCAAAATATCTAATTCATAAATTATCAACTTTTTACACTAATAGATCAACACCTCTTTGGCATATAGTAGTAATTGTCAAGTCTATACTACAAATTGTGCTTCTACCATGTGGCTGTCTTTGTACTTTAACCCACACGCACGCAATTAGTAGCGTCTTTGTCTCACATGGCTGAATTGTTTTTCGTCCCGGGGAAATTGGGTCACAGGCAAATGACTAGAATTTAGTTGTGTGGCACTCAATCGCGCGTGTGTGAACCATTTAAAGAAAGATCAATAAGCTGCATTTTTACTTCCTTTATTGGGTTACAAATTACAACTATTGGGGTCCCCAAACTCTCATGATTTATTCCGAGTCATAACCTTGTTCAATTTTGGGAAATCAAACTCAAAAGAAATTGGCTTGCTAACCAGTCGAGTGTTAAGCAAGGCCCTTTCCTTGAATAAATAAATGTGCATATCTTTTTTTTTTTTTCTGTTTTCAGTTTAAGGAGGAGATTTCAAATCTGAATATTTCACTTACATTCTATCCCTCCAGACCAGCCAACCCGTGTCACTTCCAAATCTTGTTTTCCCTACAAAACAATAGAAGAGTATACATTCAGATGATTAATGATTTAATGCGTTTCCATTTGAAGGGTAAAGGCAGTTTGTCAACTTTTGAAAATGAAAAATGGAAGCCTATGGTAGAAGTCAAATTAATGCTAAACTAATGTACTACTGCTTGTAGACAGAAATGCCATCATAAATCTTCCCATGACCGCGAAGTCAAGGGGGAAATGGAAATGGAAAAGACACACGGAAAAAGCATGAGGACTGAGAAAAAAAATATGCCCCAAGGACCCAAAATTTTTCTTGGGTTGAGTTGCAATCCAAACTGTTGGAATGTTGAAGCTTTCATCGCTTCAATAGTGTACTAAAGGAGACAAATTGCCGTCCAAGACTTTTGCGGAGGATACGGTCGGTCCCATTTGGATTATTATTTTTTTTAAAAAAAATTTGCTAAAAAATATTCTAGGACGACTGATTGATTGATTGCTGTGTGTGAAGTAGTAAAATGGGTGATTTAAAAATATATTTATGAAATTATTAAAAAAAATTTCATTGAAAATAACAATCCAACCATGACTGTGCCCAAAAAAAAAAAAGAAAAAGACGTAATGCAATTCCCCCAGCCCGAAAGGAAAAAAAAAAGATTATGATTAGTGCATTTTATAGAATATCCACATCAATAATTATCGCAACAAAATAGGAGTGCATGTTTGCCATCTCGACCATAATGTTCAATCTAAAGGACAGGCACATTCTGGAACTCAAATCTAACTAACACTACAGGGGAAAAAAAGAAAGAAAAAGCAAATTGGAACGCATTTATTAACTTTAAAAGCAAGTCTCCCCAGAGAATTACTCCTAATATTTTAATCAAATTAAAGCCCTGTCGAGACGCCAAAAAATAAAAGAAAATAAAAATGGACCAATCACAATTAGGATAATGGTAGGGTCATTAACTGCCACCACTTTTATTTAAAGCGTCAATCACCCTCTCTTTGAACTACTCTACAACTATTTTTATATATCTATCCAAAAATTTAGACTTTTGAGGAGGATGACCAAATGGATGATTTCAATAATTAAAAGATGCTTCATTATTTTCTTTTTCTCATTTTGGAGGAGACAACAATTCAGTTGAGAATGACACCCTGATAAAGATGGAGGTGGAAATCTTTGCGTCTTTTGAATCTCCTATCTCTCTCTCTCTCCCTTTTGATCTTTTTAACTTTTTGCGTCTGATTAGATTATATATATATATAATTAGATATTCAAACTTGTATGTAATGCACACCAGCTTTCATCTTCTTCACTTGGCACTTCGCAGGAATCTCAAAGCCTTGCTGCAGAACTAACAAAAGCAGCTGTATGTGGGCTCTTGTTTAGCTAGGTATATCAATTTTTTTTTTTTTTGTCAATCATCACTGTCCACTTCACTTCTATTCTTGCTCTAATATATTTTACGGGGAATGATTCAACTAAATCAAAAAAAAAAAAATCGATAAAAACTGAACTACCATCCAACTACGTACATACTCACACGAATCCAGAGAAGCCATAAAAATTATGAAAGACCAGAAGGTCTGAATCGTTAACCTCTCCCCCCACCCACAAAGACAAGTCCTCCTTTTGTTGGCACTACTGGTACACGTTTTAGAGCGTATGCAATGCATGATGTATGTAGCACTAGAACTGCTTGTAATGTGAACAAGCAAAAAAATAATGAGGTGTGCACCCACCGTGCACTTGACTTTTGGAACACCCATACGTCTTTTCAGCTACTTACCCCCAACCCACATTCCCCTCAATTGTCACTAGTCAAAGTTATAAATATATGACCCAACCCACAAAAGTACTCCCTCCCTTTTTTTATAACTAACGTCTAAGAAATTTGCTCTAGTATACTTTTATCTGTCATTTTATTATCCCCATACAGTATTAATTATTTTTTCATAATTTTACCCTTTTATCTCTCTTTTCCAATACAGGGTTCTTAATTACTACTCCTAGTAATTATTGCTTCTCTCTTTGTAACAACCCTAGTAATTATTGCTTTTGACCTAGTAAAACAGCACCATTTAGTACTCTAATAAGAGAAAATATGGGTGAATTGGATAATTAATGAGGGTACAAAAGGAAAGTAGTGTACAGATTTAAACAATGAAAAACTTTTTTTAATTGGTGTGCAAAACCTTAAACGTCAGTTATAAGAAAAGGGAGGGAGTAGTAGTATTAGAGACTACTTAGAGTACTCATTACTTAACAGTAGTAATCTGGAATAATCCCGCCCTCATGCACATTGCATGTGTAATGACAACTATCATTAATTTATTAATCCGTTCTGTAGTCTCATAAAGGATCCTAATTATTCCGCCCTATTTACACAACTGACCTCGTTTGGGTACGTGCGTCACCAGTGATGATTATTATTTCCTCCATCCTACTTTGATAGTCATGTTTCTTTTTTCACACAATTTAAGAAAAAGTAGTTAACTTTGTTGGAAAAGTAAATTTAGATTGCTATTTTCCTAAAATACCCTCACATTAAATATGGTACAACTTTATGGGAACTTGAATTGATGGTAAAAAAAGAATCAACTCTCATTAAATGGGGTAAGTTTATAGTAACAAGTACTTACATTGAATAAGGGTATTGTAGGAAAATTAAAGTACAACTACATTCTTCAATTAGAAAGTGGACTACAATTTGGAACAGATGAAGAAGGAATACAGGACTATCAAAGTGGGACGAATGGAGTATTTATTACTACCCTCCACTCTTTGCTTTAGCTGATTATTTTGTTTTTCTCATTTCAATTTCAAGCCGAGGCTATTTTAACTGTTTTATTCAGACCTCATTCTTGTTTGCTTTACATTTTGCGCGAGCTAGCTATGTAAATTGATATTGCAGAGGATGATCAAAACCAGTAAAAATTACCTATTTTGCAAAATATGAATTTTAGCATTTTTTTTTTTGTTAATCGTAAAATCTATAATCTAACAAGAAAAAAAAAGTTTCCTTGAGATTATTTATAGAAGAATTAATTCCTGTGATTGCAATTACGTTGAAACTTATATGCGTTCCTATTCATCTAAATGCAATAATTCGTCCCCCATGACCGCTTTTGCTTTTGCAACTTCACGAGTGACGACTGACGAGAACGAGGGACCCAAAATAGGGACTCCTCCTTTATCGCCAAAACTCAAGAGACCAAAAGATTGAAAGGGCGGCCCCCTTGAATGAACGTTACAGAAAAAATGTCTGCATTCTTTCTTTAGAGTTTAGACTCATCAATCAATGGCGTACGTTACGTAGGCTCCA